CCTCGCATTTCATAATTTCTGGGCCGTCAGTACAGTTTTGATAGAATTCGGCAATATCATTCCTGTCATCTTAAAACAACTAATATATACAGCTGCCATTCTTTTCTTATTTCGAGCTCATTTACAATAATTGTGTTATTATTGTCAACGAATACAGAGGGAACTCGTTTTTTAAATATGTTACTCATTTCTTTTAGTTTTTTGTGTACATTAAATAAGTCGTGTTTAGATATTACATCTTCCATTTTGTCGCACCTTCCTCTCATCCATTTTTCTTTGGCTAATTTGATCTTCTTCTTTATTCTTTTCTGCAGGTGTCTATATTCTGTTACATTAGATTTTATCAGTCAACGTTGTTTCATTAGTTTTATCCATTTATTTTTCTTGATTAAGTTTTTTCTATAATCATTGTTTGTGGAGATTTCGTTGACTTGGTTTTTAAATTCACTCCATAGTTCTTCTGGATCTTTTAGTTGTTCTCCGATGTTTTTTATACTATTGTTTAATTCTGTTTTAATGTTATGTTTTATGTTTATATCGTCAAAGTTAAGTTTATTGGTTTTAGGTTTTTGTAGCTGAATTCATTTTAACCTTAGTTTAATATCTGCTACGAGTGGTTGATGATCAGATCCAATATCTGCCCCAGGATATGTAGTAACTTTTTTGACGGCATTTCGAAAACGCTCATTTACAAGTATATAGTCTATTTGATTTCTTGAAGACTCAGGGTTATTGCCATCATCAAATGGGGCTTTCCAAGTGTATAGTCGTCGCTTAAGTAGTTTATACCAGGTGTTTTTAATAATCATATCGTTTTCTTTACAAAAATCATACAATCTCTGTCTTCGATCGTTAGGTTATACTAAACCAACTAAAACCAAAGAAGCTACAGTCTGACCTTGTCGACCTTCCTCAATTTTTGCATTTAAGTCGCCTATAATATATTAAATTTCGTGTGTATATTAGTTTCTGTAAGATACCTATCTTGGATCTGATCATATAACTTCTCGACTTCATCGTCATATTTTCTATCTGCACTTGGGGCATAGATTTGAAGTATGTTAGTTTTAAATGGTAGAGTATTTATTTGGAGTAATATTATTCTATCCGAGACTGGTACGAAATTGGTCACATATTTACTTAGTTCTGATGTTACTAATATACCTAAACCATTTTTGTGATGCGGGTCTTCTGTTCTGTTACCGGAATAATATAATACACTTCCGTCCTTTTTACATAATCCTGACTCTGGCCATCTCATTTCGCTGATTCCCAGTAAGTTTATTTTCATTATTTTTATTTCTGAATTGCGTTGTCAAGTTTCCCAGCTGCAAATAAACTTCTAACATTCCACGTGCACATTCTAAAATTAGATTTCTTAATTTTTCGGATTTCTTCACGGGGTTTTTGCATGTTTACGACCTGAGAGGTCTCGTGGTATAAATATGTTTCTCCTCTCCTGCCGTATCTTGGCCTCCTCTGTCCATGATTAGTAACGGTTTGCAATTGCAGTGTCAATTCTATGGTGATTTTCCTGGGAGTGCTCTATGAGCCGGTAATGCAGTGGTTCCCCTTCGACTTGTGCATTCTTATGCCGTTGAATCATTTTTTGTTGATTCAACTGCCTTCAAGGCCGATTTCATAACCCTAGGACAAAAGAATGCCCTACCACTTACCAGCTCATCTGCCCTAAACCGTTGGTCAGTAAGTGGGGGATTGCTTATATCGGCAATCACTCGGACGTCAGAGCCTCATTTGTTATCTAGCAGGATGCACCAAATGACCATAATCAAGATCATCACGCGGGCAGGTAAGGTTGACATTTGGATAGGAGAGGCTATACGTTGTGCATCACTATCCCTAACATCCCATAATTTCTTGTACAGAAGGTTATTTCCTTTCTGTACATGTATTCGCTAAATCCCTTCGGAATAAGTGATGTATATGGTTCTAATGAGTTTAGTGCCCATATGTATACTTATCTAAGGGCTTAGGTTATTTACAGAGAACTTTATAGAGCCTTGATACAACTGCAGTTTGTTCAGTTTCCATATAATTGTTTTCCATGATTGTCTTTTTGTCCTTTCCATCACATCATTAAATTTAGCCAAAACTTTTCCATAATTGCTGCACTTAACAGTTTGGTGAAATTAAATTTTCATCTGGATTTTGTCCTACGATTTGCAAGGTTGACAGTCTACCAGGGTACTTACTGTAAGAGTTCCTTGATATTTTTTAATATTTGTATGTTGTGTCAAAATACGTATCAAGAGATATATAGGATTTGCTTGCGTGAAATCAAATATTTGCTGCCTTTCTTTATTTTATTCGGATTTACTCTGTGTGAGTACTAGAAGCACAATTCGCTAAGGATTTCTGCTTAGTTGTAAAAGACATGTCGTGGAATGCAAATTTTAGATTCCCCATGTCTCGTTTAACATCTTTTATCAACGTCTGTTTGCCTTGCAATTTTTAGAAGGCTCAGATTATAAAGCTGAAATCTGAATTGTGTTTCGAAACTATTTTACGATTGTTGTAATTAGATGTCGCTACTGCGTCCGTATTGAAGCCATGTTATTGTTGCTTCTTAAAAGACAGAAAATATTGATTTTTCACGTTGAGGACTCCTATGAATAGCTCTTCTGACGAGACCTATTAGGTCGAAATACGTATCAAGAGATACATAGGATTTGTTTGCGTGAAATCAAATATTTGCTGCCTTTCTTTATTTTATTCGGATTTACTCTGTGTGAGTACTAGAAGCACAATTCGCTAAGGATTTCTGCTTAGTTGTAAAAGACATGTCGTGGAATGCAAATTTTAGATTCCCCATGTCTCGTTTAACATCTTTTATCAACGTCTGTTTGCCTTGCAATTTTTAGAAGGCTCAGATTATAAAGCAGAAATCTGAATTGTGTTTCGAAACTATTTTACGATTTTGTAATTAGATGTCGCTACTGCGTCCGTATTAAAGCCATGTTATTGTTGCTTCTTAAAAGACAGAAAATATTGATTTTTCACGTTGAGGACTCCTATGAATAGCTCTTCTGACGAGACCTATTAGGTCGAAATACGTATCAAGAGATACATAGGATTTGTTTGCGTGAAATCAAATATTTGCTGCCTTTCTTCATTTTATTCGGATTTACTCTGTGTGAGTACTAGAAGCACAATTCGCTAAGGATTTCTGCTTAGTTGTAAAAGACATGTCGTGGAATGCAAATTTTAGATTCCCCATGTCTCGTTTAATATCTTTTATCAACGTCTGTTTGCCTTGCAATTTTTAGAAGGCTCAGATTATAAAGCAGAAATCTGAATTGTGTTTCGAAACTATTTTACGATTGTTGTAATTAGATGTCGCTACTGCGTCCGTATTGATGCCATGTTATTGTTGCTTGAATAGCTCTTCTGACGAGACCTATTAGGTCAAGAGATACATAGAATTTGTTTGCGTGAAATCAAATATTTGCTGCCTTTCTTCATTAAATTTTTTGTTTTTATTGGGTACATCCATAAACCTGAGCAAAGTGTACCGCCAATTAAGGAGTAAGGGGATTGCAGTTTTAATCGGATTTTAGATTGATACCGCCCTCTTCACTGTTATTTAACTTTGGTAATAAATTGTAAATATAGCACTTCTGTACTGTCCCTGAGTGTGTTTTATGATGAGTACAATAGTGTTTCAGTAATTTTTAGTAGTAAACACCAGTGCACATTTATCTACGCACGATCACGGCTATAGTTGATTTTTAACTCTTGAAATGGCAATAGGTCAATACATCATTAACAAATTAAAGTAGTCAAATACATTGTCGTGTCTGAATGGATTAAGTTATCCAAATCCATTAATTAAATAAAAGAAAACTCTTGAAATGTGAAAACATGCATTTTTTTTATACCGGACGAAAAAGTACGACTTTACGCTCCCAAAATTAGAACGTAAAGTGCGGAATTTATACCCAGTGTGTTAGGTAAAAAATATGTAGATAGCAAAAAATAGTAAAAGGTTGAAGTAAAAATACAATAAAAAAAAATTATTAAAAATACCTTTTATAACTTTGTTTTGTCAGTTCAAAATTCAACCTAGCAGAATTATTGGCTTCTTATAGAGGAATAAACAAGTGTGAAGGTTGTAAATGAACTGGAAAAACTTTGTAGTACACAGTGGTATTTATAAATTCCTTTTTTTATTATTTTAACCTAAGTTACCACGGGTTAGTTGAGAGGCGAAAAATTAGTAAAAATCGAGCAGAATCATGTGGTATTTCAAAATTTTTATTTGAATTATTAAAAAATTTTTGTAAGAAATATTTAAGAAGTGAATAATTAATAGGGTGGTAATAAATATGTAAAAATCTGTCAAAACACTGTGGTACTTCAAAAATATATTTTTGTTTTAATTTTCCTGGCTCGAATATTTATCTAGCGGGAAATGGCTGGAAAATTATCAGAGTGGTGACAGTGTGGCAAACACTTTTTTATTTCAAAAATTATTATGGTGGTAATAAATTGGTGAAAATGGGTGAAAAGTATTACGTAGGTTAAATTAGATTCCGCTCATTTGTCCCCGCTAGCTTAACATTTCATTCAATTTCTATACTTTTTTTAGTGTCCGAAAATTTTAAATAACGCTGCGCCCATAATAGTTTCTTAATATTGTTCTGAAGCTATTTTCCTGTGGTATCTTAAATTAATCACTATTTTAATGGAAATAAGATACAATTAAAGTTTAAAAAAACGTTTATTAACGTTTCAATTTCCAATTATTGCGCCAGTAAACAATAAGTCAATAAATTTATTTTAAACTTTAATTATGGCTTATTCCCATTAAAATAGTATCTTTTTAGGGCACGAGCAACTTCTTGTTTATTATTTCCGATACAGCAGTTACTCTCTTCACTAGTTGACTTCACGGATATTTTGTTTATAATGTAATAATAAATTTGATAATGAAAACAAAACAAAACACAAATTTATTTACAGTTTATAAATTATAAAGAGCAGATTTTCTAGAAAAGTATCACAATATAAAGAATTGTGGCCCAATGAAGTTGCCACAATATGGAAAACTTGACGGAGGTGCCACTATATCACCAGTATCTCCCACTTGAAACAATACATCCAATCCTCTAGTCCAACCCTGCGCATTTTCATCCCGTAGTAACCAAAAACCTAAAAAATTTCAAAGATTTATTTACCTTGAAATTGAAGTGATATAACATTTCAGCATTAACGTATGCCGAAACACCAGTTTGTGGAATTTTCATTGATTTAATTTATAGTGAAATTAATTTTGTTGTTCTATTAGTACTATGTGATGTTAACAAAATTTTCCATATAAACTGTTATATAAGCCTACATACAGAATTCTATACCAAGTCACATTTGAAAGTAATAAAAACGAACAAATATAACTGTCCAGATATCTGTTTGTGTGTTTGTACAGATAAAAAATCACAATTAATATTCCATCATCAGTGTTATCCTAAAAGTATAACCACTTTTTTGAAATTTTGACCAAGGTTAATACAAAAATGTGGTTAATAATCACTTAATGTACATGTTTTAAGCCACTAAATACTTGTGTAAAAACCATTATTTGTCTTTATAAACTATGATTAAGTTACAACAGGAATAGGTGACATGGCAACGTAAGATTACTGGAGGTTTTTAAATGTGTATTATTTTAATTGTTTCCATCAATTTCAGTATAAAACGATTTATCTGAAAATTAGTATTGTCTTGTTATATTAAACTTATTTTTAAAAATTCCTAATCATTTAGATACGCTTGCTCTAGAAATGGTTTCGCCAATTGGATTATTTTGCAAGAACGAAAAACTGGAGCTCCTTGTTACGTCTGAATGTAATTCAGACGTAACAAGAGAAGTAAGTTTTGTAGTATGCTGTAAATAAGACGTTCAAATAATTTTTGTTTTTATTTAAGAGAGTCGCTAAGGACGTCATCAATGTAAATTGTAGGAGATAGTAGTTTACTGTTTTGGTTGGAACATGGATATTTAAAGATAAAATTGTCGATTTTTCATGGCACGATAGTAAAGTGCTAGTAGAGTAAAATAGCAGTTTTATTAGTAGTTTTGTTTTTATATCCTAACTTTTTATTGGTAGTTCACAGCATATCCATCACTTATCATCCATACATCAATTATCTTTGGTCTTTAAATTATCGAAACTGTTAAGCATTTTTAGAAAAAAAATCTTTAAAAAAACATAAAAAGTTGATATAGTAGTCGGTACAGTAGACTATGTGCGAAGCTTCATACTATGTTTTCTGTACTTAAAATTTAAATAATATTGTTACACTCCTTTAAAATAACTTAATTGAACACCAACTTGTTTACAATACTTTTATATTATGATGAAGGTTGTTCCCTCTGAAGTAATCTACCGAAAAAAAGATCTTGAGGAAGCTTCATTTTACCTTCAGCGGTAGCCGTCGATGGAGATTAATATGAAGCTCCATGTTCGGAACTTCTATAGGCTAACAGAAATAGGGAATTAAAGTATTCCAATCTCAAATTATCAGTGACAAAAGTGACATGTATTAATAAACAATGCTACTATGTCTTTTGTCCATTCCGTCAGATTGAGGATGGAGAGGCGTAGTGCGAGTTTTCTTAATAACCAAGATTTTCAATAATTTTTGCCATAATTCGGATTTAAAATGATGTTCTTACTTAAATATAACTAAAGGAACTTCATGTCTGGATACCACGTCTGTTATGAATGCATTTGCTACTGTAGTCGCTTCTTGATTAGGAAGGGATGCAATTTTAGGCCATTTTGCTGAATAATCCATTGCGACCATTAACTACCTGTTTTCTCTTTCTTTCATTGAAAGTGGACCGAAAATGTCCAGTGCAAGTCGTTCAAAAGGTTCTGGTTTACAACTTTTGGTTCTAGGGCTTTTTCTACCGTTACATATATGGCATTTCTATTACTTATCTTTCTCGAACTCTGTCCAGTGTTTTCTTGACTCCAAAATGTCCTCCCAAAAGGCTGCTGTGGAGTTATTGTAACACACTTTTAATGTGTGATTTTGACAATACCACCTGTTGAACTGTAAGTACTCCATCAGGACCCTCCGACTTCTGACATAATAGATCATTGAAAAGATACAGCGATCTCCATTGAGCCCAGTACGCCTTTATAGTCCCACTGGTTGTTTCCCACCAAGTATGTCTTACTCCATTTTTGAGCCATTCTCGTATAACTTTTAAGACATTATCCATTTTTTAATTCTTTTTCAGGTTTTCCAGGAAAGTGTAATCATTATTTTCTTCCTATTTAACTGTGATCCTCCAGAGACTTACTTTCCCGGTGCCATTATCTTCTTCCTTACTGACTTAACTTTTTTATTTCATTTTTACTAATTACTAATTGCTCCCTTAAATGTGAAACTTCCGTTTCCGGAGTATATTTTTCACTTCTGTGGTCACTTGTGGGAAAAAGATTTCTTGGAAAAATATATCTACTATGTCGATCTGAACGACCTTGTGAAATTATTTGGTTTTTCTGACCTTGCATGGGATCGGCTCGTGTAATTATTTTGCAAATGTCCTATTCTTCTGCAGTTAAAACATCTAAAGTTGTGACTTCTTCAATTACTCGAAATCTTATTTCTTTTACTTTAGGACTAGATTTGGAAATAGTTTTTGCCGCTTCACACACCACAAGTGAGATTAGTGCTCCATCTAGCGTTTGGTATTGCTGTAATCGAAGATCTTGTTGCATTTCAACATCCTGTAGTCCCTGTATGAATGCCTGTATTTCAATTTATTCCAGAAAATCCTTTAAGTACCAAAATAAGAGTAGGCCAAATGTAATAGTCTTGTAATACCAGCTTCAAATTCCTGCAGGATTTCGTTATGTTTTTCAGCTGACTTTGGAAAACCTGCTTTAGATGCTGCTCGCCATACTTTATCTCTAAATTTTCAATGAGCAAGGTATAATTGTGTGCATCCTAAAGAAGAAATTGCAAAATGGTTGGAGCCTGTCCTCGAAGCGACACTAGAAATGTAGGTGCTATTTCACTTTCAGTCCAGCCAATTGCCCTAGCTGCAGCTTCGAATTTAAAACCAAGTTTCCCAGGCTGTTTCTCCATCGACGGTGGCCATATAGATGGTTTTAAAATTTTTGCTGGATCTAATAGTACGTGGTTGAACTGTCAAAGATGACAATAATTACAATAAAAAGAAGATTAGATAAAGAGGCTTGAGAATTAATTTTTCTTTATAACTGAACTATTTGTCTTTCTAAATTTGATTTTAAATCATTTTGTTGTTGTTTTAAACTGTTTTGTTTTTGTTTTATTTTTCATCTAACTTGTCTTTTCTACAAGTAATTTGACTTACCTATAACTTAAAATTCTCTTGAAATTAAAGTTAACTATGTATGATTTCTATCTATGCTTTTCTACGTTTCCCTCTTTCTCTTTCTCGTCTTGCCAACGATTCTCTTACTCTTCTTGCTTAAGCCTCTCCTTTTTGTTCCTCTTCTTGTCTACGCTTCTCATTTTTCTCTTCCTCTTCTTGTCTACACTTCATTTATTCCTTTTCTTGAGTGAATTAATATACGATAAGAATTAATCAAGTTGTCTGTTAGTTTCTGTAAAACATACCAGTACATCGACTGTACAAAAATTGTCTGAATACGGGATGTTTTGAAATCTTTGTTTTTAGACGATCCATAAAATAATCTGATAGCAATGGGCTTAGAGGATTACCCATTATAAGTCCTGCATTGTTATTTGTGTATTCTGTCTTGAAATTTACATAAGCCAGGATTTCTTTGAATTTAATATTCAAATATATACAAATAACAGTGTAAATAAGTAGCTTATGCTAAGTAATGGTGATTACCAACGTCGGATAATTCTGATATGGCACGCGAGGAAGAGATGCTGAGTAATCCCTAAGCTCATTGCTTATAACAAATTATAGTCAATTTTGACATTTTGTATAACGTACTTCCCTCGTTACATAAATGTACTCTTCCAACTGTCTGCTGTGACTGTATTAATATAAAAATTCAATATAAATGTTTTACTAATAACTCCTTTTTGTCGCACCTTAATACAATAATGGAACTGATAATCGGAAAAATCCGACATTGTATTTATATGAAATTATTGTAACGTAGAAAGTGTCATAAAAAATTAAATAGATGATTACATGTTGTTATAAATTGGTTGACACTTATGACTTTTAAATTTTGACCGTTTGTCAATAGTTACAAATCGAATTGTAGTATCGATTTTTTATTTTTCTGATTGTTTTTCTACACCTTCTAATGACAAGTATTTTTTAAATTTTTAACTTTTCATTTAATGTCTTTATTGTTTTAGTTATTTTTCATGCAGTTTTTAATTTAATCCTGCTTAAAATAAATATATGATGACTATATTTGACTAATGTGAAGAACCTCTATTTGCTTGCCTCTGCATTTTATTATTGGGACCGTACAAGTTCGGAACAACGACACCTGGTGTCATAAATCAGCAAAATGTACTGCGCTTTCATGTTAGATCGAGGTTACCGGATAACTGTCAAGGACGTAGCCCCAAAAAAGAATAAGGAGAAAAAGTAAGATTGAGGTTATGTCGGTACGTTATTCAAAGGTAAACGTTGTATGTAGTGTAAATACAAATAAATATATTATTAAATTACAGCATTGCTGTTAATATGGATGCAATAATAAAAACTGGATTTAAGAAAGTAAATCACCAAATAACTTTTCAACCAAGCACTGAGTCAAATGGAAAAGCTTTAGTGGCAAATATCAAAAAAGAATGGAGGAATTAAGAAAAAAAATTACCATAAATAATGCTAATGCATAAATTAGCAGGTTAAGCCCATGATATCATCATATTAGTTTGAACAATTAATTATTTCCCTGTAAACTTTTGCACAGCAAATATATATCTTAATGCATCTTCGAAAAAACTTGAACTTTATGCATTTTTGAAACCTCAAAAAAATAAAATTTAAACAATAAACTTGATTTTTGGGTTAAAATGAACTCTAAGTGATTGTTATGAAACTAAAATTTACACTTAAAAGTAAACTATTATTTATTTCAAACTGGCTTTAAAATCGGGCGCAAGAATAATGCATAATTTAGGTTATGTTACTGATGCTTTTTTATGATGTA